CTTGTCTCTTCGGCGGTCTTTGTCTTTCCTCCGTTCGCTGTCATAGTCGTCGTCGCGTCGGCGGTCGCGGTCGCGGTCATCTCGCTTTTCTTTCCGCTTCTCGCGCCTTCGCTCGTCGTCTTCGCTGTCGTCGTCGTATTTGCTCTTGCTTCTTGACGGCTTCTCGTCTGGGATCAAGCTCTGAGCCTCCAGTTTGGCCTTTAGCTCCTCTTCTGTGATCATCTCACCGGTAACCTTGTTCCGCAGCGTAACGGGGTTGTAGCTCTGCGCGACCTTCTTCCCTTTGCCTTTACCACCACCCCATTCCCCCAACTCAACGCCTATTGCAGCGTCTTCCTTTGCGCCTATGCCAAGCAGCGCTGGTCGCCGTTTGACTTCTTTCGGTTTCGCAGCAGGTCCGTTCTTGCCTATTGCATCGCCGTCCTTCCAGCCCATACCACGTAGGAGCGCCGCGCCGAAGCCTTCAATCGGGGTAGCTTCGTATGCTTCGAGGGTGGGCGCGTCGGGCGCATTGTTGAGATCGTTTAAGAGTGCGTCCTCTTCTGATTGTACAGGAATCACGAGATCGTTGTCCGTGGATTTGCCGCTGATCAGCGCGTCGAGTGCCTTCTTCTCGAGCCGCTGCTCTTCCGTGAGATTGTCTTGCTCCACCTCCATCGGCTCCGCGGCTTCCGCTTCCGCAGCTCCATTTTCATGCGCTTCGTCTTTCTTGATGATCGTAAGGCCATATTGCACCTTCGGCTCCTCCATCTTGCTCTCATCGACCGTGACATTTTGCGCTTGCTGATGGGGTGCTTTCGCAAGTTGTTTCCGCCGTGCCTCTGCTCGCCAATCGCGGTTGGGCAAAGCTGGAATGACGCGCGGTCCCTCTTTCTCTTTTTTCCCGTTGGCATCGACCGCGCCGCCCTCTGCTGCGTCCCATCCCGTAATCTCTTGTTGTGTATTCGTATCGTCTGGTTCGTCGTCACCGAGCAAAAGCTTGGTCTTTTTGGTGTCTTTCTGTGCGGGAGAAGATTTCAGCCCTGGCTTCGTCTTCAGTGCCCCCAGCGACATCTTGAAGCCGCCCGGCTTGGGGGCGGCCATGGTGAATAGATCCTGCGTGGAGGCGCGTGCGCGGTGCTTTGTGTTGTGCTTTCGCGGCCGCTAGAGAAAGATGTGCAGAGTTTGGGAGGTTCCGACGCAGCTTCAGGAGCGAAATGTGTGGAGGTGGTGTGGTGTTTGTGAATGTGCTGTCGTAGGAAATGTTCACTCAGAAATCCAAAGTTCGCGCGACGACCGATGATGTAGTCTTGGCACTAGGCCCCAGCCACACGGGATCAGCTCCTGACCAAACTCACCTGTCAAGCAATGCTTGATGGTTAAAATGTACTTATAAGAAAATCTGTTGCGAAAGCACCCTTGCGCGATCAGATTCGAGCGACTAAAGCATTGACGCAAACACGTGCTCCATAGTTTCACAGAGTGTACCTGTATTCACTTCTGGAGTTATTTCATTGCCCATACTTCGCAACTACAAATACATATAGTACACCACACCTAACTCTCATCCCTCGCTCGGCAGTGGGGGAAACAACACACCCTTATGCGCTGCACCCAACTCTACCAACGGAGTTCCGTAGTCTATATCTGCGCCAGGCTTGCAGTATTCAAAGGTTCTTCGATCTTGCTGTACGCCCAGCTGGTCAAGTAGCATGCGTGCTTTGTTCGGCATGTATGGCTGTAACAGGATACCGGTGATTCGAAGTGCTTCAGCGGCAAGATAAATGATCTTGTCAACATCCTCGCCAGGCTCTCCTGGGCCGAAGGTCAAGACCTTGTCCCATGGTTGCGACATCTGGAAGAAAGCGTTCGACTTGGTCGAGTTAGTAGGATGGCAGAAAGAAGAGTGTCTAGACTTACCCCGCGGACAAACTCTGCGATTTGAGACACGGCTTTACGCGGATCGTAGGCATCAAAAGATGCATCTACTTGCGAGGCGATGGTAGCAAGAGAATTATTCCGGAACTTGGAACCTGGTCCTTCCGCCCACTCCTCCGCTGACCACCCACCAACACGCTCGACTGCGCCACGGACGCTCCATTTCTTGCCTCGTGTAACACGAGAAGCCAGGTTGCCGAGTTGCTGGTTCAAGAACTTGTTGTACAAACCAATGATGCGAAAATTGTCATAGCTCGCATCGTCTTGTATGCCACCCTCGCGAGCCATGTAAAAGCGCATAACATCCGGACCGAACCGATCAAGGGCGTGGAAAGGATCGACAACCCTGCCAGTAGATTTGGACATTTTTGACCCTCCAAGAGTCCAGTGAGCGTGTGTCAGAATCTTCTTGGGCAATGGAAGTCCAAGAGCCATGAGGAAGGCGGGCCAGTAAATGCAGTGGAATCGCACAATGTCCTTGCCGATGACATGACAGTCCGCGGGCCAGCCTCCTGCTTGTTCGCGGCCTGGTGTCCACGGGTATCCGGCCTTAGTCGCATAGTTCATCAGCGCGTCGAGCCATACGTAGATGGTCTGCGAGTCGTCTCCGGGAACTCGAATACCCCACGTTAATCGTTCATACGGTCGAGAAACAGACAGGTCCTCCAATCCTGATTCGACCGCTTGCACAACCTCCTTCATGCGATGCTCCGGGGTTATCCACTCGGGGTTGTTCTTGAAGAACTCGAGCAACTTATCCTGGAATGCCGAGAGCCGGAAGTGATAGTTGACTTCTGAAGACCACTCTACTTCACTACCAGTCTCAATCGATGTCTGTAGCCTGGTCAGATCGATTGACAGTGGCGCCCCAGCAAAATCTTACCATCATCTTCCGCCCTGTAGGTGGGTCAAGATATGGCTGTACGGCAGACTGTGGGTAGAAGCATTCGTCGGTGACTGAATACCATCCCTCATGCTTCTGCTCGTATATGAGGCCCTTCTCTTGTAGCAGGAACTGTCCGCCATCAGCTACATGGCTTTCCACCGTCTGAACTCAAGTTCTCGTACCCATGCATACTCGACAGCTTCCTTGTGTTCTCTATCCGTCGTCCGTACGAAGTGATCGTTCGTGATCTCGGCTTTGGCTGCAAGTTCCTCGTACAGGTAAGTAACGATGGCGGGGACTCGTTATGCGTGCATGCGTACTCTAAAGATCTCGGCACCCTTATCGCAGAACAGTTTCGGGTCAATGCCTGCTTTTGCAGCTGCTCTCTGAACCTGTCACAGATTTAGTGCAATACTATCACATTGCCAGGTAAACCACCTTTAGGCCATGTTCATCTGTTCCGGTGCATAGCAACGCCTTTTCTCCTTTGAGTTCATGCCACCGCTTTATGACGTCCGTGAGGACCATGGTATACAGGTGGCCGACATGCGGGGCAGCATTGACATAGAATATTGGCGTGGTGATGTAGTAGGGCTTCTCCGACGTTTGGGTGGTAATGTGTCGGCGGCTTCGTCCGCTACCAGCCTGCAAGGACGAGCAAATCCATGCTGACCGCCGCCTCGACAAGCTCGAAAGCACCGTTCTGAACGCAGGCGCCGTGGACCTGGCTATTCTCGCATGCATACTTTTATGGGCGTCTCACAGTGATTCGCGACGATTTCCCGCGGCAACTTTTGGCGCGGTGCCACGTGCGACGCTAGCTTAATCAGCTCCTTATCGACCAGGCGGCTGCTCAGACAACCCAACACACACCACGACGTGTTCCTGGCGCTCGAGTCCTTCGCATTCATATCACCAGCTGAAACCGGCGACTTCGAAAGAGCTCATGGAGTGAAAACGTTCGTATTCAGAGGGCGCATCGAGCCTGGCTGACGATTCCCCTGACAGTAAACCCATCAGTATTGCGTTGCCAATAGACTCACAAGCCCAACAGGAACCGTTCGCGATTCAAAGGATTCAGACTAGGGGTGTCCTTCCCACGTGGCACATGGTGCACGGCAAGGAGCATTCATGCAGGTGTTTCTTTTCCATCGAAATATGTCGTCAGACGCCCCCAAGCGCACCCTGCATGCGAGCGACACTTGCATAATCATCTTGCCGACAATGCTATATTCTCCACCTCTCAGCGTATCTACCGTTTACGGCTGGTCGAACCGCTGCTGTTCCAGGACAACGGCTCTTTCGGAAGCCCTCGCAGAGTCACTTGCATCATGGTCCTCCTACGTCAACACTGGGCGAGCCCATTGTCGTACAGATCACAGGTTGCGATCGATCCAAAATCATTGGTGGACCTGAAGTCTCTTTCTCTCGATCTCAAAGATGATTTCGTTCTCGACATGCGCTAATGTGCGTAATATTGCTCGATCACACCTCCATGAAAGCTACTCCACCTTTGAGCCGCCTCCTTAACGCCGATACCTCAATCCTGAGTCGTTTACTCGTGAACCTTCCAGAAGGCGTTCTTTGATCCAGTAAAATCAATCTTTCATAATGTGGCGCGTCATTGTGCTGATATCGAGTGCACGCGAGCCGTGCCAAGCCTCTTTTTTCTATTGAAGCTATTCAGACCCAAAAGAGGTAATCACAACACCAGAACTCGTTCGCTTTCAACGTTGTAGTAATCCCTTGTTGCACTTGTCGCAAAGCGTATGCTCGCCGTCTCCCCGCGAGCTTTGAATCTTCTCGGACCAAGTTATCCGTAATCCATAGCGCCCCCGAAGGCCTGGAAGACCTCTTTGCTCTGGATAACCTTGCTTTGGGGCTTAACCGACCTCCATTCAGAGTGATCCCTTTGAGGGCTTGCCTTCACTTATCGGACTCGGGCGACCCGAAGGTCTATTGAGCAACAATGTGGCCTATTCATGTTCTGGGGTGTCAATAGAGAAAAAGAACGCCTCCGTTAGGTTCTCTCGTGTGATTACATCTCCCTCTCGAACTTAAGTACTCTCCCCAGCACGCACCAATATCTTTCGACATCGTCTGCACCTTCAAGGATCAGCATCAACCATCTGATCAACAGTCGATCCTCTCCAACCTTCACGATACTTTACCACACGATCTATCCAAGTTCGACATCATGAAGATCTCCGCCTTCATCGCCTCCGCCATCCTGTCGGTCACTGTTTACAGTGCCGCCTTGCCAGTTCCTGCCCCCGTCGCTGCACCCGCTGCTGAGGGAACGAGAAAGCCCGTTTGGGGACGCAACGCTGAAGCAGCACCCGCTGAAGCAACGCATAAGCCCGTCTGGGGACGCAACGCTGAAGCAGCACCCGCTCCTAGCCCACAGAAGCATAAGCCCGTCTGGGGACGCGACGCTGAAGCAGCACCCGCTCCTGGCCCACCGAAGTGGGTGTATCCCGGAACGAAGCCCGTTTGGGGACGCAACGCTGAAGCTGCTCCCGCTCCTGGCCCACCGAAGTGGGTGTATCCCGGAACGAAGCCCGTTTGGGGACGCAACGCTGAAGCTGCTCCCGCTCCTAACCCACAGAAGCATAAGCCCGTCTGGGGACGCGCTCCTGAAGCTGGGAAGTGGGTGAAGCCCGGAACGAAGCCCGTTTGGGGACGCAACGCTGAAGCAGCACCCGCTCCTAACCCACAGAAGCATAAGCCCGTTTGGGGACGCGATGCTGAAGCTGCTCCCGCTCCTGACGCAGGGAGAAAGCCAGTTTGGGGGCGCGACGCTGAAGCTGCTCCCGCTCCTGACGCAGGGAGAAGGCCAGTTTGGGGGCGCAACGCTGAAGCTGCTCCCGCTCCTAACCCACAGGGTGGGCCCCTTTGGGACACCAAAGTTGGCGCGGCCGAAGACGATGAGGAGTAAACCTCTTCACGATGAGAAGATTCTTCGACTCTTACATCGCACTACGACAACCGCCATATCAGCTGCTCGATTGCACCATCTCCTACCTTCGATTCAGAACACTCGACGCACACTCGATCATTCGCAAGTCATACACACGCCAGCTACACTTGCAGTATGACCATGGACAACCACGCGACGAGTCTTGTGTTATTATACCGATAGCTCTACACAACACTGTCTCAGTCATGAGGCATGTTCTGGTACCTCATCAGTACACGGACAGAGCTTGACCGGTCTCCCACCTCTTGGACCACGTTCGTGGCATGGAGAGTTTGTACATACATGGTGGCAGACGTCTGGTTAATTCTTTTTCTTATATATGTATGTAATAGTCGAACTGTACGAGCTTGCTCGATTTCCTTCTTGGTATCTAGTAATATATTCTTGTCCATGCTTGCACTACATTGCAGTTTTGCTGGCATGATCATCCCTCCACTTTGCCAGCATGCATATCACACTTACTGAACAACATCGGTGTGACTTTGATCGTCCGTTGTCAGCTCATATACGCAGCCCAAACTATGTAATCAGTCATTCATACCGAGCTTCAAGCAATGGTCACATGGTCGAACTCCGACACCATACGCATCTTCGTACAACATCGCCTCGTCCAACTCATCACACGTGCTCCCCTCAGAATAGCCGCTCAAGCTACCACCGTAACAGCAACAATCTCCGCGCCCATGGTCCATCACTACCGACACTACCATCACTTCGCGCTCATGTCACGACGCACCAGAGATTTTGACAGCTGTCAGTACGACCTTGCCTTGGAACGCGCATCATCTAGTTGGAAAAAGTGCACCTATGCAGGTAGCCGATGTCATTCACACGTTTGTGGTCGTCTAGGAGCACCGAGAGGGAGGCTCTGAGATTAAGCTCCTTGGTCGTTGGCATGGACTTGTGTGATGGTGGTGGAGAAGATGGGGATTGTGCTATCAAACTTCTCGGCGAGGGAGCGAGTCGGAGGTTGTGCGACGCGGATTGAACGTCTGTTTTGCCTACGAGCTGAACTGAGAACAATGCAACCTCGGAGGAGCGATGGAAGTAGAGACGAGATTGAAGTGGTGTACGGCTCCAGCTCGGATTTCCCCGGGTGTCGGACACACTCCAATAAGTCGATATTTCGCATGGTCATTTCCAATAATTATCTCATCGTTTCACCGAAGTCACACAAACATATCCAAGACCCCAATCAATGCCCTGTCACCGAACCGTCATATTGCCAAAACTTCACACTCAAAACTATAATCTGTCATTTGATGAGTATTGCAATATCAAACATTTGTCACCTCCCAGGCCGATCCAGCCCTGCGGTAACCTAACCGTCCAAGGCATTTAACAACATGCCTTGTCAACGAACGATTGAGCTGGACGTATCGCACATTATCGCTTAGCATGTCACATATCGGGTGACGTTTCACATGCGAGTGATGGAGGTTCATGCGCGAAGTCAAGCGAGCGGACCAGGTGGCATATGTGTTTAAGGGCCTTAAGATCTGATTTAGCAACCGAGAATTTGAAATAAGAATTCAGGATAAACTGGTCATAATTAGCGGTATTTTGTGGATACGTGGACTATATTCGCGGTTGACGTATTCGGGGGCCGACGTGGTTTCGTGATGGGGCTGCTTTCGGCCGGGAGAGAACAACGCACACCGCCCGAGCGACCCACGAGAACAATCTCGGAGACCGAGTGTTTTAAAGAAAGTGACAAGCATGGATGTTTCGGAAGGCGGTGATGAAGTGGTATCTCTACGTGGAAGCACGGCGATGTGTGGACAGAGGAAAAGTTTGTAGTATGACGTTCATTCGTATTCATGGATAGTACCTAGATGTTCCTTCACCTTCCCGCCCCACACTTGCATCCATCTCACTTCATCTCAACATAAGGACAGCTTTTAGTCAAAGCAAAAAAATACCACCCGATTCAAGGAGTGATTGTTGCAAGACCTCCACGCTCGAGCAAAATGACCAAGACATTACCATGTTCAAACCAAAGAATAACCAATGTTCCCTGACCTTGCGGCCCCGCTCAGCGTTCCAAGTCTTTAGATGTATGCAGTAGTGAAAGTAAATATATGCTGCCTCCAAGAGATTGGGAGAAGACACAAATAGCAGTAACATGCAGGATGGCGCGAAACAAAAAGAACAACGGAAAGGGTATAATAGCGGATCATGATCGGACTGAGGAAGAGGAGATTGCGCAGAAATCAAGAAGACGACAAAACATACGCTCGCTTGCTAGACCAAAAAACAATTGAAACAAGAACAGACTAGTAGAGGAAAGTGTGATGGCCATGTAAGTGTAGCCATCACATGTTAGCGCCATTGATATTGACTTCGTAGCCGTCGCTCTTAGCCTTCAAGGCCTTGGCCAACATGAGCTCACGCATCCAGTCAATTCTCTGGTCTTTGGTGGTTACAGCAAAGTGCTGGACCTTGCCGTTGGGCATCACCTTTTTGACATCGCCTTTTCCAGGTGCGGCAGGCACAAGCTGGAACTCAAAGGCAGGAGTAGAAGCAGCTGACTTCTCCTTGTGATGACCCGAGGAGAGCTTCAGAGCCTTGAACTTGGCAGAGAGCTTGTTGGAAGCGATGGATGAGCATGCTACTGCGTAGTCGTCCACGTCGATCGTCTGCAGTGCGGATGAAGACGGAAGCTCATTGGGATGCATAGCTAGCTGTGTGCCCTGGAGGCGGAAGTGGTGGTCTTGCCATTCGTGACGCAGGAGCTTCGTGCGGCGCTTCTTCATCCATCCGTGGTGGTTTACTCCCTTGTACACAAAGCCTCCCTTGTGCAAAGGCGCAATCGTGTCACTAGCTTCGCTGGCGAATGGCTGGGTAGCTTTGAGCGGCGACGAGCCAGCGCTGTCGCTAGTACTGACCGAGTCGTCGAAAATGGTTCCGCGCAGGGTGTCGTCATCTGAGTGGGCGGTTGGGCTGAACACGCGATCCTCAGCAAGCGCCGGCATGGGCAACGAGGGGCGCCTTCGGTCGTGACGCGATCCAACTCTTTGGATTTGGGGCTGGTACTGCATGTTCGGAGGCACGGACTGGCTTGTGTCGCGACTAAGTGGCTCCTGTTGCACAGCAGTCACAGGAACGTCCATCTCGGAGAAGGGCGTGCCGAACCGGTAGACGCCACCTGGTGACGCTGTCCTACATGGCGAGAATGCGGTGTCGGGTGCGAGGTACTGTTGTACTGGGACTCCTTGGCGTGGGTTACCAGCCGGTTGGGCAGACATTGAACGTGCGGGAGGAATCGTCAACTTGGGAAGGCTCTTGAGATTTGAATGAGGTGCTGGCATGAACTCCGGGGGATGCAGAGCTGGAGTTGAGGGTGAGCGACTGAATGGATCGAAAGACTTTGTTGTATGCGCCGATGTAGATGCAGAAAAGGCTGAAACCTGCGGGTAGTGCGATTGCTGTGGTATCACCAAGAAGGGACGAGGTGGGTATGATTCTGTAGGCGGGGTTGGAGGAGCCTCGATTGGAGTAGCGCTGACGAAGGGCTGCTGGCCTTGTAGGGTGAGGAACTGTCGCACATTGTCTTGCGGGTCGCGTTGCTCAAACTTTTCTAGGTCTTGAAGACTGAAATCAGGTAGCTGACCAGGCCCAAGGACGTCGGACGATGCTACAACAGACGGCACCACAACAGAAGGGGTAGCTTCAGAGTTCGGGCGGTGGACGTTCTCGACAGCGTGGGATGCTGTTTGGGGGTTGCCTGGATCACCCGCGATGAAGATGTGACCACCCTTCTCGGGCGAGATCGGGAAGCCGTGTTCCTGTTGAAGTCTGGCAAGTTGCCGTTGTTGCTTCCTCCATTTGGCGCATCGTTCACCCTTTGCGCACACGTGTGGCTTGGGAAGCAGCTGTTCGATCGCTACAATGGAGACGGAATGCGCAGGCGTGATAACATCGTCTGTCATGTGGTTCCCTCGCAACTTATCGCGTCGACTAGCTTTCCTGCCCTTGCTCTTGGACCTGTTTCGTGCCTCTGTGCATGGTCGTTCAATGTCTTCGAAAGGAGTCGGGATGGCTGCTGGGGCAGTTGGGGACATCAGCCCGTCGGCAGTGCGCAGGGAATCGATCTGGTTCCACAATTGGTGTCTCTTGCCAAAGGACTGAATCTCCAACTCCTTCAGGTCGTCGAACTGCAGATCCAGGAGTACGGCACCGGAGATGTCGTGCTCCATGAACTTATCAATTACGTCGTCTTCAAATCCGTTCTGATACATCCAGGTAGCAACGTCTTTGGAAGTCCAGGCGCGCACTTCAGCGTTGTCCAAGTGGGCAACGGCGAGAGCGATATTGTTGTACTCTCTCTGGGGGACAATCGTTTCGGGAGTGGCCTCTCGGAAGGAGGTTGGAAGACGAAGTGGAGTTTCTTTTGGCAGGAGAGGCGACATCTGCATTACTTGGCCCTCGTCAAACGGAAAGTCGCTGGACGACACTGAGGCGCGGAAAAGGTGTGGTCCTCTGGGGCCTTCTACTGACTTCCGTTCTGGCCAATAGGCGAACTGTGGTCGTACTTCTTCCGCAGGTGTCTGTACTTCCTCAAAGGTAGAAATCGTTGTTTGACTTCGCCTGTTGTCGCTCTTCGGAAAGTCAGTGTCGCATATGGTGGAGTGCCAGAATATACATACAGATGAGCCACTGAACTCCTCGAATTCGCTAGAATCATCCTCGATATCGGTGTATGCGACACTGATGTGAGAAACCGGGCGCTCTAGCGATGAGCGGGCCGTTAGAGCATTGGAGAAGAACGACTGTGTCTTTCCTCGTTCGAACATTTCCACGCCCGGCTCCAGCGGGGTGATGGGTGTCATGGCCTGCTGATCGGGATGTCAGAACCGCACATGAAGAGGACTGTGAGTCTAGCTTACCATGATCACGGGTTTGGAGCGTACACGCTCTGTGAGAGGGGAATTTGGTTGTTCGGGAGGCTGCTAACA